CTCAGATAACTGCTCAGCCTGGGACCATAAACGGGATAAGCAGGTACAGACAATGGATGGATGAGGGTCTCAGTGTACAAACACCAGGCTTTGTATTTCAACTGCCAATGACCAGTGGGTAAAATGTTTTTATATAGACTTGTTTCCCCAGCAAAACAAAACCATCCTTGAGATTTATTTGGTTTTACAAGGTTACAGCTCTGTACAGGACGTGAGCACAATACTGACTGATAACACAAAAACTCCACTTTCTATGGGCAAGCTCATTCAAGCACTTCCCAATGCAAGGCAGAGACATTCTCTCTGTCTGACTCTGTCTTCCTTTAGAAATCAATCAAGTCATCTGAGCATTAAAGCTGACTTTTCACAGTAGGGATGTTTCCAAATATTCATGCAATATTTAACATAGCACAAATGATTTATATATTACAAAAATCAATTCAGTACATATTTGTTGAGTATTCGTATTATTGAGTTTTAATATTCTGCCAAAAATCACTTGACTAAACTGCAGTTTGTGCATGTTTTAAGCTTCTAAATCACTGTCTGAAAAATCATGCATTCTTCAAATTTAGTGCTGATCATGTTCCAAAGCTTACAAAGTGAAATCTATGTAGTTTTTCTCATCCCAGTATCCCAAGGAATTGCAGCCATATAGGATGATTCAGAACCTCACGATTTACGTAGTGTCAATATTCGGTGCCAATACAGGGGGTGAGGCACAAAAGGTAGGGTGTGGTGGTCGAGGTGGTGGATGGGTGTGCAGCATCTCAGGCTTTCATGCAGGAGAGTTTGTGTCCCGTCACAGATCTGCAATTAATGCTCCCATTCAGTTAATGTTAATATTAGCTACAACCTGTAATCTTTTCCTAAACATACCCACATCCTTAGTTCCTTAACCCTGACCATACCTTAACCTTAAAGCTGCAGTAATACATATTTTTATTAAACAATGTGTTGCAGGACTATATGTAACTTGAAAGGCATTGTTTTTCATTTATAACTTAACTTTGCAGTTTCTCTTAACTCTACTGACCATTTTAGCGTCTTTCAGCTCTTTGTTTTGGTTTAACTGCTCATAGTTTAACTGTTCACTGATGCTCTGATAAACTGACTACACAACCTTCCCAGCAATAAACAGCAGCCAAACAAAGTTAGAAAATAGCAGGTGAACATAGTGAAACACTAAATAGCCAGATTTTCCCCTATCCAAGAGCTAAAAGGGGAGTGAATATTGTACTTAAATTGATCAGGCACAACTGAAAATGAATGCAAATGTTCCTCCATTTCTGCTGCATGTGTAAATTGGTGACTGTTTGCTAATATGTTAGCTGTATCAGCTTTACAACTCAATGTTGTGTTTCCAGCTTGTTGCGCTAACGTTAACTATAACCACTTTCTCCTAACTTTAACTATATAGTTTTACATGCACAGATATTGTAGAAAGCGAAAAGTAATGTAAATCATTAAACATAATCTAGTGTATTATGCAGCAGAAAGCCCAGGTATTACTAAGCAGCAAAATGGAATTCCATCCTTCATTTTGTCATTTGCACCTGTGTTGTGGCATGTCAAAATCTTTTCCACTAAAAAAAAAACAAAAAACGTTTTCCATTCTTTTCAGTACATTTTATATCAATGTCTGTTGTTTTATTTATGTCAGTAGTATTTTATCATGGTATGGTAATGTAGTTGAAAGTGCAGACTCATTTGAAAGTCTGCTGCTGACTTATGTGTTCGTATGCTGGTCAGAAATCAAACTTATGAGCCCTAGCTGCCACATATTGCATTCATGAGCTAAAGTATGTTGTTGTAAAATCAAACCCTGACACAAAGCAAACATGGATATTGTGGTGAATGTGACAGCTGCTTGCATTCATTGATTAACCTTTTATATTCATTTACTTAATTAATAATGTCAACACATATTCATTACGAGAGCCTGAACACCCTACTCACAGGAGCCTCACTGGGTCGTATAATGGTGTCATATGGTGGTAGATACAGAATCTTCACAGTGCTCTGACTTTGAGTCTAAATCGTGTGCTGAAGGTCAGTGTTCCCTCACACCTTACAGCTCACGACCTGTGTCTTAACAGATGAAGAATCACTCCATTTACTCTCTAAGACTCTCTGTTCAGCCACTTTAAGAGAAATCAATGTACTTCAGCCCCAAGGAGAGCAACACTCTGAAGTCTCTGCCATTCTGACCTACAAATGACTACTCTGCTACCCCCAAAGGCTCGTCTGTGTTTATATATGTGTTTTGCTGTGTGTTTGTGTCTGCGTGCGTACCGGTGCGTGTGACAGGAAGACAAAGAGACATAGATAGGGGGGTCTTTAAAGGACAATAATTCATATGGTGCAGCGTGTTTGTGACTTATTTGCGGCAGCAGAGGTCAAAATATGAATGAAGAGGTTTTCATATTTCACATTAGCCTCTGAGTGTTAAATCAGAGCAGTTTAGCATGATTTGGCCTGTAAATGATTATTGGCTGCAGGTTGGCTGGCTGACACGAAACTTAGATTTTTGTGTTCAAGCTTCTAAAATCGATTTGAATCAGGACTGAGATTAACATGCTACTCTTGACACCAAGAGTTGTTACATACATATTGAACGGTAGGGGAAAAGGTAGGGGTAGAGTAACATAACACTAAATCTACTTGTTTGATTTAGAAAAATTATATGTATGGCCACTTTTATTTGGTGTTATTTGGAACAGGCTTATATTTTAGATTTTCTAATTTCCCCTGCTCTTCAGTTATGCAAACTTTAAACTTCCTCCATATTTACTTATTGAGTTGATAAATTCAATATAACATACATTTTTACAGCATTTATTGCTGTGTACAACAAAGTCATGCTCTTAGTTTCAAACTGAAATATTGTTTTTATTTACTAAATAATTCCAATTTTCCCATCTTCTCCTTCAGTGTAAAGCAAATCAAACCCAACACAGTCTGCAGATTGTTCATGTTTAAAGTGCTCCGGGCTTTCTTTAACACAACAGGTAAATAAATAGAGGTGGACGCACAAACTAGCTAACACACAAACCTTGAGACAAGTGAAATATAACAAACACACTGCAAACAAAGGGTAAACTAAAACAAAGAGTAGGGCCTGTGCGTGAGGATATGGTGGTGAATGTGTTGGTGTGATGTGAAAGTTAACAGAGACTGGCAATAAACCTGTCTGTGTGTGGTCTGTGTGTGTGTGTTTGTTTTTGTGGGACACATTTTTGTATTTTGCATGTTTTTAATTTGAAAAATCCACAGTTTTGATCGACGGTAGCTAATTGATTCAGAGCAGCAGTGCTGATCAGAACCAGATTGATTTTACTTTGAAAGAGCCTATCCATATGATTTAAACATATACAAAAAATTGCTTCAATAACATCTTCTCAAAAATCTAGAATCTATAAATATGTAAATGTGTTGGATACAAGATGTCTAGAGATTTAAGGTCAGCACAGACACAGACTTTCAGCAGATGAATGTGAAAACTAAATCTGCACCTACATCATTCTGCACATTGAAGCTGGAAGCTCAAACATCCATGTGAATTAATGGTAACAAAAACAGACTTTTGAGTGGAGAGGGATTTATACAAAAAACACATTCAGTCAAGATAAGCTGTCAAAATAAAAGTTAATTGAAAGAGTAAATTGAAAATAGTTTCATTCAGTTAAAGCTGCAGAAGGTATTTTGAACACACACAATGGAAGACATTCCACCTATCTCTCTGCTGCCTCTTATCACTCCACTAAGCCCCTCCCCACCAAACCCATAAACTTGAACAGCAGCAGTTGCCCTATGAAACCTTGTGCCCGCTCTCCAGCAACACTCTGCCTCAGCGGCAAGGGACAAGAAACAGCGGAGATTTCTCAGAAAGTGGGGCGCCATATCATTAGAGTGTCACACCAACCTCTGACACAGAGAAGTCTGTCAATAGTATGTCTAAAGTGTATAAACTGAGCCAAGAGGAGCAGAAGTCTAGTTTTCTCTCCCACCAGTTGAATTACAATATGCTGAAACATTTGTGTGGCATTTCTGCCTAATGACGGCAAAAAAAAGCTTCTACCCCAGCTTTAAAGGACCAGTGTCCTGAATACCACTTATGACTGTATTTGATGACCTGGGAATGAGAACGGGCTGTCAAGTGTGTAGGAGAAACCACAGTGGCTGCGAAACTCACAAAAAAATGCAAAAGCCTGATCTACAGTCTGTGTTTGGTTTGTCCATTCTGGGCTACTGTACCGCCGGTTTAAAATGGTGGTCACCTGTAGATAGAATTCCTATATTCAGGTAATTATACACTAACCTGCATTTATTTGTGACTTTACATCCACCATGATTAATGTGTCCATCAACACCATCTGGAGGGGAGGGGTTGGGGTGGATGGATGATCGGTTCTTGTCAGATCACATCTTTGCGGCCAACACTATGCAGATTGTCCCAGTCGTTGAGAATCAGTGTTCTAGACCAAAAATACTAAAAATGTGTAATGCTTTGTAGCGCACACGAAATATAAGACAATGTTATGCTATCTCCTGTCTGTCATCCAGAATTAATTCACACATAACTGTTATTTGGAGTTGTAACTTGAAAAGAAATCAGGATGGGGATGCTGTGGATTTAAATGTGAAGAAGGTATGTTAAAGCTAAAACAGCATGTTAAGTTGTCCTTTGAATACATTTGATTTACACAAAACGTCATTCCAGTGCCAGTGCCCCTCGTTGGTATTCTACGAACAAAATGGAAAAAATAATATTTCAGGTTTCAGACTGACACTACTTATCCCACTGAGTAAAATCCTCTCACACTTACAATATGGCATAAGAATAAAACCTTTTGACTAGTGCAGGCTATGGTCAAAGGCAAACCTATTATCTGATATCAGCATTTTAAAAGACTACTGTAACCATAGTTCTCAAGTCATATTCTGCTTCTGCTAAGTTATTCATTGACACTCTCCTCTTTCTTTCTCTCTCCTGATAGGAACCTGTTATACAGCCTTCCAGGGAAGACTCCTCAGTTTTCTATCCTCAGGTTCTCACAGGAAGCCGCCCTGCATTGCAACGTCACCAGCAAAGCAGTCAAACGCAGCTCTGCAGAGAAGGAAGTAATTTGCCACAGCACCATGACCCAGTCTCTGTCTCTCATCCTCAGGGCCATCCGGTCTGCTGAGAGGCTGGTGTGCTTTGGCTTGGACTTGTTTGAAAATTACCCAAATGATAGAATATGATCCTGACTGACACGGGCCCATCAGTGAGCTTGGATGCACTCCAGAGCAAAAACTGCCACTGATCAAGTCAATCAAGTTTAAAGGTGCAGTATGTAAGAATTTTAGTTGAAAACATTAAAAAATTTGTTGACAGAACAGTTTTGAAGTTTTGTCAAAGACATCTATGTATTGTGTTACAAGCGATATCCACTGAAGTTAGCATGTTAACCAGCTTTGTGCTTTAAGAGGCCATAGTTAGTTGCTGTCGTCAAATTGGCCCCCGTCGGTCTCAGAGGCTGTGTTCAGTCCTGAGAGATTGGTAAGCCCAGTTCCATTGCCTACACCAGTTTAGTTCCCAGTCCAGTGCTGCTTCCCACCAGCATTCCCCACTGGGCCCCTCTCCCCAAGGCCTGTACATCTCTGTCTGCAGTCCAGAGAAACACCAACACTCTCTCAGTGCTCTGAGCTCCCATACCGGACAGAGTCAGCTCATAGACATAGATACAGCTAATAGGACTGGTTACTATGGTGATATACGGTACCCTATTTATTTCGAGTATGAATTTGACAGATGGCCAATTCTTACATATTGCACCTTTTAAATAAAATGCAAATATTAAAATACAATTGACCCTCCAAATGAAAACCATACTTACTCACACTACAGTGCTGGAAAATCTAAGAATCAGAGGGAATCCAAACACTGACACTGCTTACCAGAAAAGAGATTTAAACTCCCAAACCATCACTTATTCCCATGGTTCCACTCTTCCTCGGTAACTAATATTGAATCAGTGACAACAATATGCAGTCCAAAATATAGTGAGAAGTTTCAGACTTTTTGAATGGTTTTCATATGATGTATTGTAAAAAGAAATCTGTTTTTTGATTGATGAATGTATTGAAACTAACTAGTTGCACACTAGCTCTTAGATATGCAAATAATATTGACACGATGGGGTCGTTCAAATTGCACTAAATGTTCTTCCAATTAAAGTAGACCAGTAATAAGAGGCATATGGTAATTCTTCGATTATTACTTTTCTATCAGCAGACACTCGCAGTGGTGTCGAGAGAACTTTATCCTTTCCTGGACAAATCCCAGCACAGGAGGTTTTGAGAAAAAAAAACACCAACTTGTTATCTGATTAAGGAAAATGTAAAAATATTAGTATTCTGTCTGTACAGGTGTAGCCATGTTTAAGATAGAAAAGTGTTAAATGATACACACAGTAGGAGACAGGGGTAAGCTGAAAAGTCCTTGACCATGTCCAGGTTAGGTCATTGTCCCTTTGTGATGCTACTTGGTTCCATAGTTTTGGTTGCCCATAAAGGGAAATTGTGGTATTTTATAACCTGGGTCTTATTCTTGTAATTGTGTGTCTAACTTTGTACTCACCACTGACAATGTAGATATACAGGAAACACAGGGTATATCGGAGCAAGCAGCTTTCTAAAACTTAAATAAAATATCAAGTATGAACCAAGTGCTAGCTGACTAACCAAACAGCTAGCTTGTATAGCCAGCAAGTAGCCCTGAAAGTGGATCCCTATCCAGTTAGCTACCAAAGCTAATCCAGGGAGGCAATTTCTGTGTTTCATTTTGACTCTGAGACTAGTCTTAAATTATTTACTTTAAATCTTTGAGAGGCTCATGCAGTTTGCCCTGATATGCACTGTTTTTCTCAAGTTGTTTTTCATGAATCGGAGGAGGGAGAGCAAAGATTGCATTAGAATGGCCAAAGTTATGAGAATATGGTTAAAAAATAGGCTACTGGAATTATCTTTGGATTAATTATATGACAACTGTACAATTCTAATACCCAATTACCCATAAGGGCCTAGTTATACAATATGCCATTCTACGATCAGTGTACCCAACAACACCCTTTAGCTGTTCTAAAATCACTATAAGCCATGGCATTTTATGGCTCACCACTTTTGTTAGAGCAATAACTCGCATTTAAAACACACAAACACAGCTACTCAAGGAATCGTTTGCTTAAAGCAATACAAATTAAACGTATCTTTTTCATCCTGCAGTGTAGTGAGTTAATAGCATCTAAAAGTCACTCATCACTGCAGAGACCTGGGTTCAATACCTGGTTACCAATGCCTCTGGCTTGGCCTGGAGCCCCAAATTACACCCGCAGTAACTGGCAGTGCTAGCAGGTGGGAAGCTGGTGGGGGACTATGTCCTTGTTGTTCAGACTAGCTTCTCCTGCTGGTAAAACTGGTCCAACTCTTCACTGCCAGGTGAAAAGAAGCAGGTGGTGATGTCCTTTGTAGGAGGCACATGGTAGGTAGTCTGTGACAGAACAACAGGGGGGGGGGGTTGGCAATGACAGAGGCCAACAGCTAAATATGGGAAACAATAGGGGAAAATGATAAAGTAATATACTAATATTTTATAGACAAACATGGCTATTATTAAACATTAAATTTTTAATATTTCTCTCATCTAATCTGAATCACACCATACTGCTAAATGCTGCCATACTACTTGGCTACCCATAAACCCAGTCCTGTGTAGCATTCATAACAATCATACAGATTAGATGAGGCAAAACCCCTCAAATGTTTTAGCATAAACAAGTGAAATTAAACAGCATCACAACACACAGTAATTCCAGCTGGATGCATTTACAACCATTATGCACTGTTTGACAATTGCGCTCTATCTCCACTTGTCATTCTCTCCCATTTTCTCAATGACTGTGCTGCTTCCTGCAAACTCTTAATGTTTTAAATGGCAACAGCCAGTGTTATCTCTCTGCCTCCTCTTTCTCTTTATTCTCCTCACATTCTCTTGCTAATGAATGCCGCCATGCAGTGATCTCTCTCATTGTGCAGCAGTTTGCTCTGCTCATGACTAGAGATTTATAGGAATCTAAGGCGGATGGGCTGGTTTTAATAGCCTGCACAAACCCGAATAGAGACCTGAGCAATAAATCTTTTTTTTTGTTACTGTTTAATAGCTAATTATTAATATGAAATGGTATTCAAAAAACATTATTATTGTGAGGACAAGCATTAGTAGCCTATTTGTTGGTTTATGGTTCTTGAACTGTAACCAAATCGTCAATATAACCACCCAAAGCTGCAAACCACAGTTTAGCAGCTTGAGCAATCCTTTCAAATTACAGGGAGTCCTGTGATTCAACATTTATGTGAAAACTACTGGTAAATGGGGCTTCAGGTTTTTTGTAGTTAGGCATGATGTGTACTAGAGTAGTCTTTGTGTGGAAAGAAATGAGTAGAGCACTATTTTATAATATAAAAAAAAATATTTCATACCTTAACTTATTTGTAATAGTTTGAATGTGATAGACTTTTTTAGCATGACGGAAGGGTGGGAGGGCATGGGATGGATTTCGCAGCTTGTAATTTCTTATTAAGTATGAATTTTTGTAGAGTTTACGTACTTTTAAAATGTTCTGAGAAATGATTTAGCATCTGTAAAGACACCAACAGCATTGTTTGCAAATTGCTTCTTTAATTGTCCACATAGCTGGTTTATTCTTAGTGTTTCCACAGTCATGATGCATTCAAAAAAGTTCATGTTTAGTCTCAATAATATGGTGTTTTTTTAAATTAATTACATCTCCATTTGAAGCAAAGATTTGATACGCAATATTTTATAAGGTAAATTAATCATTTGTATTTAACTGTCCAACTAATTTTAGAAAATAAAAACTTTTCAGGGATCAAAAATATAAATGTTCATTGCTTTAAATCATGTGCCTTTTATCAGAAAAAAATGCTTTAATTTAGTAGTATGTCAAATGGAATACCAAAAAATTGATTTAGCTCCAGATTTTCATCAATAAAATGCACTATGAGAGGTCCTCTCCTCTGAGCAGACAGTCGGCTGTACAATCTGATCTATTACCCACCACTGTGTATTTAGTGTACTATAAATGTGCTTTTCACTAGAACTAGTTGACGCCAGCATTAAAGGGATAGTTTGGATTGTATGAGGTACTCATCAATAGTCAGTGTATTAGTTACAGTAAACAGCGGTCAGCACACCCCCAGCTTGGAGAGGCCGACAAGAGCATGCAAGCTAAACAATGTACTGCTGTGGCCGTAACAAAACGTGGTTTAGCCACCAAAAAACAGGCCCTTCTAAATGACTATCCTTTTAAAGTGTGTTCAGACAGCATGCAAAGTAAATTTTAGCAGCAATGCAATTGCATACAAAAAATCAATAGATTTAGCTAGCTACAGTTGGATTGAAATTTAGTTTATGTTCAATCTGAATGTACCTTTTTTACCAGTTACTAGCAATGTTAACAATAACACAATGCTTTGCCAAAAAGGCCTACTTGCTAGTTAACAGTGTAAAGACAAAATAACAATTACTGTAACTATACAGTGTTGTATTATCATTCCAGAAATTCAGTCAGTCCAGAAAGCTCTGAGTTGCTGAAAAAGGCAAAAAGATGTTGGTTTTAAATATAGCATATATATATATATATCTGTTGAAAAAGGTAGGCCTACAAGACTTACATAGAAACCGAACAGTGGACTAAAAGTCACCACTTCCAGGAAGTCAAGTTATGAACCCACAGGAAGAGCGCCAAACTGTACAGCAATGGTTAGGGTTAGGGTAGAAATATCAGGGTAAGCCAATTGGAGGCAGAGTAGGCCGGGTCATGCATGGAGTCATAATCTGACTTCCTGGAAATGGTGACTTGCTTTTGAATTTAAAGTTCACTGATAAGCTTGGTTTCTATGTCAGTCTTGTAGGACAACTTTTGCCATTTTCAAAACACACACACACACACACACACACATATGTACATATACATATATATATATATATATATATATACACACACACATTATATTTAAAACTTTATTTCATCTTTTGTCTATGTATCTTATTTGCTTCCAGGAATGAACCAGTGGTACGCCTACTATTGATTTCAAATCACCATCTTGAATATTTAAAAAACCTGTAGGCTACATTCCCCATTTGACCAAAAAATGTCCTTGTTGCTCTTCGTTCATTTTAT